TCATTCTCTTTCTCCCTCTCCTCCTCCCTGATTCATTTTATGGGACGTTGGCACCCCATACATGGAGTAATATTTATTGAGGCCAGCTGGATATGATGACTCAGACTTATAATCTCATAGGCATATGAGTTTAAGGGCAGCTTATGTTACATGGTAAGTTTTTGACCATTGTGGGCTATGGAGTTAGATACTGTCTCATGAAAACTAATAATAATGATGTTGATAACAATAATACTAAACCATCCATAAATATCTTAGGAACAAGCAATTTCTTATATTTGTCATCATACATAATGGTAAAACTTAAGACATTCAGTGTTAATACAGGAATATATCCTATCCATAATCATATTCACATTTGTCAGTTTTGGGATCATATCATTATTAATATTTCCTAATGTTGCTTTCATACTGAACATTTATATGTGATTTCTTTGATTGTTTTACCTTGACATTAAAGAAAAAAAAACAAGTTTTGAAATTGTAGTGTGTATGTACTATAATGTACCCAAAGAACATCATGAGAATTATAACTTTAACAAATATGTATAACTCTTCAAGCACTACTATGCAGGCTAGTTTTATATCAACATGATATAACTAGAGACATCTGAGAGGAGCGAACATTATATGAGACAGTGTGCCATTAGCCTTGTGCCTGGTCTCTGGGGTTCAGGATGCTGGTGGAAGAGGAGACTTCTGCCACAAGTGTGCACCAGCATGTGGGGGCAATGAAAGCAGAGGCAGTTGGGGTTATGTTGAGTAGGTATGGTTGGGGTGTAGGTGCAGTCTTTCATGGGGTTCAGGTTTCTGGCCTGGCCTCTGGTGGAATGGGAGGCTTCCATAAGATATATGTGCTTGGATAAGGCACCAAAGAGAAGAGGGACACTTGGGAGTTTCCTGGCAAGGCACAGGCTAGGGGTAGGTGGGATGGGTGTGGGGTGGCTTACCTGGTTTTTAGGAAGCTGGTTTGGCCTCTGATGGGGTAGAAGCTTTCAACCAGAGGTGTGGGCATGGATATAGTGATGAGGAAAGGAAGGGCAGTTGGAATTATGCTGGGCAAGAAAAGGCAGTGTTGGAGGGCAGTCTTACCTGGACTCTAGGATGCTAGTAAGAGGCTTCCATCAAAGTTGTGAGCTAGGATGTGGTGACAAACAGAGGAGGGGTAGTTGGGGTTATGTTGGGTATGTACAGGTGAGGTGTAGGTACAGTCTTACCTGGGATTTAGGATGCTGGCCTAGCTTCTAATGGAGAGGAAGGCTTCTGAAATATTCTCCACATGCTACCAAAGAAGAAAAGTTAAAAACCAGCTACAAACCTTTTGTTCTACAAGATTTACCTGCCTGCAAGATCAGCTAGTTCAATAGTGGCACAAAACTTGTAACAGTAAACAGCAAATATGATTTGTGGAAGCCATGCTCAACACAGTTTGGGTGGCCAAGCACCTGAAACTAGACAAGCCATGGGCCCAGGGAAAATCAAATACTACTGTTCTACTAAAGGAACATAACTATAAAACAACTCTTAATGACATTCTGCTCTACTCATATATCTGTGCCTTGCTCAGTCATCACAAGAGAAGCTTCTTCCTGCAGCAGATGGGAACAAATACAGAGACCCACAAGCAGATACTATACAGAAAGTGAGAGATTTTGAAATACTCAGTTCTAAATGGATGTCTCATTTAAATCCTTTCCCTCAAGGCTCAGGGAACCCTCAGGAAGAAGAAACAGAAAGAGTGTAAGAACAAGAGAGGATAGAGGACACCAAAAACCAAGTTCTTCTAGATACAACATGTCTGACATACATATGAACTCACAGAAACGTGGCATCATGAAAAGGGCCTGCACATGTCTGGGCCTGAAGTGATTCCACTGTCGAGAGAGAAAGTGGACACAGCACACAGCCATAACCAGAGGCTCTATAAATTGATAACCACTTGAAAATATAAAATGAATGTTCTAGAGTCTCATTGGGTATACAAACCACTCTCAAGGCCAGGCCCCCTGCCCTGCAATAATAGAAGGTCAACACAAAATGGATTCAGTGGTATTTTTGGAGGCTCTTTGTCTCCTACTTTGTCAGGATTTTTTGTTTCCTTTAGGTCCTTTGGTTATATATTATGATTTCCAGTTTTGAGTGTACAGGGCTTCTGTGTGTGCAAATGTGTCTGTCTCTGTGTATATTTATATTTCTTGATCTTCTTCTTTGTTTCTCTTTTCTTCTCTTTGTTTTGTGTTATTCTGACTTCCAAAACTTTATCTAATTTTGTTTCATTTTTATATTTATTTATTCATTCATTCATTCATTCATTCATTCATTTATTTATTTATTTTTCGAGACAGGGTTTCTCTTTGTAGCTTTGTGCCTTTCCTGGAACTCACTTGGTAGTCCAGGCTGGCCTCGAACTCACAGAGATCCGCCTGGCTCTGCCTCCCAAGTGCTGGGATTAAAGGCGTGCACCACCACTGCCCGGTTCATTTTTATTTTTTAAGATGTCTGTTTGTATCCTAAATAGAGAGAAAAAGAAAGGAGTGGATTTGTGTGGGAGAGAGAAGTGGGAAGGATCTTAGAAAAAATGTTGATGGGATATCATAATAAGAATGTACAGTATTCAACTTCTATTTTCAATTAAAATATATTCAAAATAAAATAAAACTGCTCTGAAAGGCAAAGTCAGTTTTAAATGCACAGTACATTGATGAACACACCAGAAGTATCAAATGAGTGTGTGTTATGATTTTTAAAAGAGAGGAGTAGCATGCTCCTATACGGAGGACCTGAGCTCAGTTCCCAGCACCTGAGTGGCTCACCACCTCCAGAATCTCCAGCTCCAGGGGATCCAATGCCGTCTTCTAGCCTCTGAAGTACCAATGCACATAGCATATGATCACAGTCACACAGACAGAGAAACATAAATAAAAATAATAAAATAAAAAATTACCTTGAAGTAAATGTGTAAGTTGAAACTATATACTATCTATGAAAAATGAAACTGTTAAAACTTCTGCAATTTTATGTAAACAAAGACTTATGTTAAATTTTATATTATTGAATGATTTATTTCAAAAGATGCAGACTAGACAGTAAGAAAATATTATTTCACACAACTATAATCAAAGGCTTTGTATCCAAATTATATATATATATATGTATATATATATATACATATATATATACATATACATATATATATATATATTACACACACACATACACACACACACATACACACACACACATACACACACACACATACACACACACACATACACACACAAAACCCTCTTACAATGTTACAACTAGGAGGTGAGCAGATATGAACAGATATTTGACAAAGGAAAACATGACTGACCAATAAGTACTTGAAAAAGATCGTTGGTATCATTAGTTCTTAGAGAAATGAGAATTCCTCAGTTAATCAAGATGGTAAGTTTGAAAGAATTGTTAGTATAAAGCATTGGCAAAGATGAAGGGCAAAGGGAACTCTCCCATGTTGCAGAGAAAGTAAGATGACATAAGCCATTCCAAACATGCTATAACTTTTTGTGAAATGAAACTGCACTTAATACTGGAACATATATATCAAAGCTCTAGATATTTACCAAAATAAAAATAAAATACAATGTATTTCATACAGTGACTTACACACAAATTGACATGAGAACTTTATTCAAAATCGTTAAAACTTTGAAACATATCCTATGTGGGGACATTTTAATTACATACACACTCCAAGGTCAAATTTGATATTTTTAATGTCAGAGTCAAAAACAAAAAGACATCATAAGTCTATAACCATTTTAGAACTAAAGGACATTAAAAGTAAAAGCACTGATGATAGTGAATGTGAAGAAATATCAACAGTGATATAGCTCAGAAAAGTGGCAATTATTAATATGGATTATGGAATAGATCATGTTACTAGATCAATACTGAATTTCTTACATCTTATCATTTTAGTATGATGCTATAATAGAAATTGTTTGGAAAATATTTATGGACAGTTTAGTACTATTGTTATGATCATCATTATTAATATACTTCATGAGACAGAGTCTCTTTCTGTAGCCCAGGATGGCCTCAAACATACTATGCAGCCTAGACTGCATTCAAACTCAAGTACTTATTAAGATTATAAGTCTGAGTCATGACATCCAGATGGCCTCAGTGAATTACTGTATCCATGGGTTTTCAAATTGCCAGTAAATAGGTCAGACAGACAGACAGACAGAGGACACAGAGAGAGAAACAGAGAGAGAGAGAGAGAGAGAGAGAGAGAGAGAGAGAGAGAGAGAGAGAGAGAGAGAGAGAGAGAGAGAGAGAGAGAGAGAGAGAGAGAGAGAATGAGAACACATACGGACTATGAATGGTTATATGAGGTTCTTGACCTAGCCTAGCAACTACTCATCAAATCTGAAAATGTATTTTATAGAAAATAAATCCTTTCTAAACATAAATTCATCTACCTGCAAAACAAAACAAAAAACCCCAAACACTAACCAACCAACTGACAAATAGAACTCCAAAACTGCATCATAGTTCTTAATTGTGATGTCAAAGCAATGCAATATTGAAATGGTTTGTCCTAGCGATGATGAGTTAGTTATGTGTGCTAATTATCAGCATTCTGGATTTGGTTCCATGTGTCATTAAGAAAACAAAGGATGATGCCTCAGGGCTTGGAACAAAGGACATCCATTCTCCAGACATAAACTGTTGTGTTTAGTAGGAAGGGAGAAAGCTTCTGGTGTGCTGTTAGATTTCTGTAGAACATCTCTTCTCTTTCCAGCTCATTGCCATGTTTGCTCAGCTGACTGAGTCCTTTGGTTAAGACATTCAGTTATTAAGTAGTCACAAATCATTACAGGAAACCAACAAAGATGACAAAATATTCCATTTTTACTTCTCCTTCATTCTGTACATGGAACCAGGGAATTTATCCATTCTCTTTTCACAGATACAGGGGTGTTTTCTACCACAGTCATCTTCATTTATACCTCCGAAACTGAGATGTGCACAGCCTCCACTTTCCTTTAATAATTTCACTGTTTTCAAATTACTGTAAAAGAGAACATACAATGGGCAGTTATTAAAATTTGAAACATATGGATGTGACTTAGGCCATGATTTTAAAAACAATTTTTATTGACCAAAATATTCAGAATATAGAACTAATTGTGTTTGACTAAAGGTTTTTTGTTTTCTCTAAATTCATTTAAAAAAGGTCTTGGACCAGTGATACAAATCAGTGGATAGAAGCCATTGCCACCAAACTTGAAAATCTGAGTTCAGACTTTCTTGTGTAAAGCTCCAAATGGGCATCACCACGGAGGTAAAGAGCTCATGATGCAGAATGTGTGCTCCATGTAGATGCTGTGAATAGTTAATGTCTACTGGGTCTTTTCCTCTTTGCTCATGTTCAACACACATGCTTTATTGATTGTACCCATAATCATGTCTTGTGGCTGTCCAATGTATATACTCACTCCTACTGTACCTTACCTGTTCTGTCTATACTCCAGAGGCCAATTAAATTCATTTATCTTCTCTTGCTGTTCCTATGGTTAATTTAAACACACTATTTCTACCTTGCTTGAATACAGGGCTCAACAAATGATGACCTTTTTTTCAAGTTTATCCATTTGATATCACAGCCCATGGAGTTTGGTGGAATTCCTTCCCTGTTTTATCTTCTTTTATACAGATTCTCATCAGTCTTGCCTGGTTAAATCTCACTTTGTTGCCCAAGCCAAGAAACCCTGTCTTGTGTGCTACATAGATTTATTTTTTTCTTGTTTTTAAAATGTCTTTATTCCAAAGAGCATCATAGGAAATAAACTTTAGTGTAAAATGACATTTTAGTGATACTGAAAATTAAATTTACTTGAAGATGGAAAATTAACAATATGGAATATATACGGAATTGAATTGTGATCAAGAGAACACTTTTACTTTTATTACACTTATTTATTTTTGTGTGAATGTATGCATGTGTGTTCCCATGTCACAGCACATCTGTAGTTAGAGGGTAGTTGAAGGAGTCACTTTTCTTCTTCTACTCTGTGTATCTGAAGTCTGAACTCAGGTTGTCAGGTTTGGTAGCAATGGCTTCTATCCACTGATCTGTGTCACTGGCCCAAGACCTTTTTTTTTAATGAGTTTAGAGAAAACAAAAAACTTTTAGTAAAACACAATTAATTCTATAATCAGTATATTTTGGTCAATAAAAATTGTTTTTAAAATCATGGCCTACATCACATCAATATAAGTTTCAAATTTTAATAACTGCCCATTGTTAATCTCATAGCTGCTCATTAGGTCCACTAGAACCTGACATTGAAACAGATGTCCAAGATACTGCATCTTTCCACTAGAGGAAATTCTTCTGGTGGTGAAAGAAATCTTCTCAACACCAGGCTTTTATACTCAATCCTGAGTTCTGGCCCTAGTAATCACACCGTCATCATGGGATAGTTCGGTAGCATAGTCAGGGTCTACAAAGATATTTTAACCTGGATGCAGGCTTCCTCTCAGCCACTGGCATCTCACTCCAAACGCTCCCACTTGCCCATCTCTGACTCTGTATGGTGCTGTAGGCTGTAAAGAAATTCACTAACTCTGTGGTCAATCATAGTGGAAAACAGCATCCATCCTGGCACTTAGGAGGTAGATGCAGAAGTGGGGCTAGTCTGTATGAAATAATACTTCAAATAGAAAAAAACAAAACTTATCACAACAATAATAATCTGTGTGCTTTGAATATATTAAAACATCTTGTAAGACTATCTGTCCTCTGACCACCTATGTAACAACCTACTTGAAAGTGTCTTTAGAGGAGACAAAGGAAATTATTTTCCTGAAGATTTGGAACCTAGCTGTCTGCACTGGCTGGGCCACATTCAAGCAGAAGTGACCAGACCTATGTTATTCCCAGGCACTGAAGAAAAGATTCCTGAGACAGTTACCACTGTGAATACCATGCTTCAGATAGTTTCTGCAGCCAATGAAGAAGAAATTTAGTAAATGCCTCAAAGAAAATGACATCATGAAAAAAATCCAGCAGAAACAGTACATTCAATGCATACAACTTCATATATTAGGATTACCATCTAACCCTTGTAAAATAAGAATAGTTGATATCTTTCAAGAGACAAAGAACAGGACAGGCACAGTCACACCTGCCCAGTAGTCCCAGCATCTGCAAGTTGGAAACACAAGGATCAGTGTTCAAAGCCAGGCTGGGAAACATGAATCTCTATCTAAAAACAACAAAATTAAAATTAAAATGATTTTTAAATGTTATAAAAGGTAACTGAAATTATAATTAACTCCTCCATTTCTGGTGAGAGTGAAAACTTACGCAGCTTTGAGAACTTTGAGAAGTTTTGAGAAGTGACATGGTTGTTTCTCAGAAAACTGGTAACCAACCTACCTCAAGAGCAGCTATTCCACTCTTGGGCATATATCTAAAGGATGCTCCATTCTACCACAAGGACATTTGCTCAACTACATTCATAGCAGCATCATTTATAATAGCCATTGTTATGAGTTATTGCATGTGGGGGGGACCCTCAAGAGTATTCAAAGTGTACAGGGAAACAAACAGAGGAAATGCAGTGGTGGTCTCGGCAGATGCAGCAGCGGAGGTGGGGGGGGCAAATAATTTGCAACCCAGACACTGCATCTATGTGGAGAGTTTATTATAATAAAGAGATGAAGAGAAAGATAGGAAAGAGAGAGAAAAAAGAAAGAAGGAGAAGATGAAGGAGAAGAAGAAGAAGAAGAAGAAGAAGAAGAAGAAGAAGAAGAAGAAGAAGAAGAAAGAGTGAGAGTGAGAGAAAGAGCACATCTCATAGAAGAGAAAGGTGGAAGAGAGAGAGAGAAAGGGGGAGGAGTTTTTCCTTAGAATGACGTTTTCCATCAGGGCCCAGGTCAGTACCATGGGGTTGGTCAGAATACTAACATTGGTTTCCAAGGGGCAGGTCAGAATATTAACAGCCATAAACTAGAAACAACCTAGACATCCATCAAAAGCAGAATGGATAAAGAAAATGTGGTCCATTTACACAATGGAATATTAAGGAGCTGTTAAAAACAATGGCACCATGAAAGTTGCCACCAATTGGAAGGAACTAGAAAAGATCATTCTGAGTGAGGTAACCCAGACCCAGAAAGACAAACATGGTGTGTACTCACTTATAGGTGGATATTAGCTATAAACAAAACGATAGCCATGCTACAATCCCAAGACCCAGTGAAGCTAAGTAACAAAGAGGGCTCAAGGGGGGGCAGGGTCAATGAATCTAATTGTGAAGGGGAACTAGAGTAGACATTGTGGGTGGAATGAGGAGGGTTCTGGATTGGGGAGGTTGGGCATGGGAACAGGAGGGGTCAGGTGGGTGAATATGGAGGAAGAGAGTCCAGGGAAAGACTACTGGAATGAGTGTCATCTCTGGGATGAGCTAGAAACCTAGTGCAATGGAAACTCCCAGGATTCTAGGAGGGTGACCCAATCTAACATTCCCAACAATGGGAGAAACAGAATCTGAACAGGCCATGTCCTTTAACTAGGTAAGACATCCAGTGGATGGATTGCCACCCTCAACCCAGCTGCAAAATCTTCAATCTACAGTTTGCCCTACCAACAAAGAGATACTAGGGTAAAGGTGGTGTAGAAATTATGGGAATATACAATCAGTGACTAGTCAAGCTTGAGACCCATACCATGAGAGGAGCCTACCCCTGACACTGCCTGGAAATCAGAGGCCAGACAGCCCAGAAATCTAGGAAAGACTGAACATTACTGGTAAAAAAAAAGTCAATGAAATGATTCATAATAATATTCTGCTACACTCATAAATTGTTGCCTAGCCTAATTTCCACCAGAGAGGGTTCACCCAGCAACAGCTGGAAACATGAAGTGACACACAGTCAAACCTCAGGAAGACCTCGGCGAATCCTGTAGAAGAGGGGAAGAATGATTGTGAGAGCCAGAGTGCTACAAGAAAACCCCAGAATCAATTAACCTGAGCACATAGGGACTCAGAGAATGAACCAAAAACCAGGGAGTCTGGATGGAACTGACCTAAGCCGACTGTATATATGTGACAGTTGTGTAGATTGGTTTTCATGTGGATCTCCTAACAGTGAGAGCAGGGGCTTTCTCTGACTCTGTTACCTGCTTTTGGGACCTGTAAATGGACTTTTCCTTTTGGCTACCAGCTCCCCAACAATGACACAGAGACTTATTATCTATTATGAAAGCTCAGCTGATAGTTTAGGTTTGTTTCTTACTAGCGCTTACTTAACCCATTTATATTCATGTACATGTTGCCACATGACTCATGGCTTTACTTCTCCTCCTGCATGCCTATTCCCTCTCTGTTTGCTGATGCCTCATTGTGTCTCCTCCCTTCTTCCCAGTGTCCTTTGTGTCTGGGAATACTGCCTAGCTATTGACTGTTCAGCTTCTTATTAAAGCAGTAACAGTGTACTTCACAGTGTTCAAAAAGAGGGACCCTTCTTCATACTGGGTTGCCTCCTCCAGCCTCAATAGGAGAGGAGGTGCCTAGTCTTACTGCAACTTGATATACCATGGCTGGCTGGTATGTCATGGGAGACCTGCCCTTTTCAAAGAGAAAACAATAGTGGACTAGAGGGTGGGAGGAAAAGGGAGGAGAGGAAGGAAGGAAGGAAGACTGTGACTGGCCTGGAAAAAATTAATTAATTAATTACTTTTGGTTTTTTGAGACAGGTTTCTCTGTATAAGAACTCTGCCTGTCCTAGAACTCACATTGTGGATAATGTTTGCCTTCAACTCACAGAGAGCTGCCTGCTTCTGCCACCAAGTGCTGGGACTAATGGCCTGCACCAGCAACCCTCAGCAATAAATTTTAAAAATAGAAAAAAAGGACAACCCCCCCAAAAGAGAACAGTATTTGTTGGTTTTTGTTTGTTTTTGAATGGTCATGTTCTAGGAGTTGGATAACAAACATTGTTTTTAAATACACACACACACACACACACACACACACACACACACACGCACCAATGTTATTT